TATCTTAGGGAGCCCATACAGCACCGGTGTTCTTGCATGTTCATTCAACAAGAGGTTCGCTACACCATCCTCAATCCACCCATTGTGTAGACCTATATTAATGAGGGATTTGAGTCCACTCATGGTGGATCGCATCCTTTCATATGTAGTGGGTTCATAGCTCGATGCGTCACTCAGTACTGACATGATGCCAAGACTATAATCATTGTAGTTCATAACTACAATGGCACCACCTTTGTCTACGGGTTTGATTATGATGGTGGTGTCATTTTGAAGGCTCTTAAGAGCCTCACGGTCACACCTGGTCATATTAGTATAGGACCGAGCGTAAAACTTATCTTGCGCAACATCAAACTTCACCGTGCGTGCAAACGACTCAATGGCCGAGAATTGGCCAGGGGGAATAAAATTGCTTTTAACCCGGAAAGGCAAACCTTTGTGTGTCACAGAGGGAAGCATCACAAAATGCTGTTTAAGTTTCAATGAACGTTCGAATTTAAACATTTCGACCTCGAATCTAAATGGGTCAAAGTGCCCCTTGGGACAGAAGGATAGGCCTTTGGCCAAAAGGTTGCACTCACCCTCAGTCAGTGGACGTGATGATAAGTTAATCACCGGATTTTCCTTGGGGGACGTCCTTATTTGTATTTGTTTTAGGAGGCTGAATGATAAGAGGATTATTTGTGCTGATGGCATACTATTCTGCTTAGGAATTTATTTAGGTGAGTCAATATCATTTAACTGAGCAGTAGTCATGTTATTCAGCTGATAAAATATGTATTTCTTTAAAATGCAATCATTCCAATCCAATTTTAGCATATATATGTGAAGATGGGAGTGTTACAATAAACATGTTCTGTAAAAAGGAACTGAACTCTGTGCCCAAAAAGATATTCAGAGGACTAGTCACCAGTATTGGTCTCTCTGCAGCTGATCTTTCCCCCATTCTTGATTTACCACACCTTGTTCTGCACTATCTCTCTATGTAACGAAAGCCATCTTGGTAGAGGAAGGGTTTTGCTGCTGTATGCCAGAGCCGGCAACAATGAGATCAGTGAGCAGCACATTAGTGATGTCACCATTTTTCCTGAGACAAGCAGTCAGAGGCTACAGTGACTGAGATCTCACACTGTAGATACAGTCATTTCACAGGAGTGCCTAGGCACCCTCACATGCCAGAAAGCACACTGCTGTTTTCCAGGAGGAATTCCAGAAAAGGTAGATTTTTCAGAGGACTGCTTAGGCACAAATAACATTTTTAGATGCTTCCTTAACAGAGCAAATCTTCACTTTTTAAGTTCATGTGCACTTCAAGACAAAACTTACCTTTTGCTACAGCATAGTGGAACACTTTGTGTGTTGCATTTCCTTAGCCCACCCCTGCCATAAAAAGGACAGTTGGTTATGTTTGCCTCCCAGGACAGAAGTTCTGAGCCCAGAAGTATGCAGATTAGTACTGCCATCACACTGACTTTCCAAGTATGAATACTTGTTGTGGGTCAATAATTTAAACGTATTGCTACCATAGATAACCAAACACATGGCAATTTAAATGAGGTCAGGTGAAGAGTATGAGCTGGTATGCTTAGAATAGAAACAATTTAAAACATATCTTAAATGATTAAAAACAAATAACTGATTTGAGCCCCAATTCGCACTTGAGCAAATAAGTTTTCAGTTGATTTTTTTTTGTGCGCTATTCATGCACTACAATTATGGTTTATGGGATCCAAAAAAAGCTCCTTTACTTTTTTGAGCTACACATCCAAAGAAGTAGTGGTAGCCTATGATAGGTCAGCATAGGACATGCTTCCGCTGTTACATTCCTTGTACAGTGGTTGCCCCTTCTGCAGCTCCCTGGGCCTCCGTAGCTTCAGTCCATGCCCTTCTTTCTAGTCCACATCCTCCTGAAGAAACCATGCATGGCGAAATGTGTTGAGGAAACATTAATGTGCCAACTACCACGTCGGTGCTACCTCATCACGCTATTGTGGGACTCAAACTGCATTTAAATCATTGTGTAATCAGTATTCAAATACAGGAGCTTATATATACCATATGTACTTTATGGCTAACTTTGTGATGCTTTTAGCTACTATGTTTTAATTGTTATTAATAAAATGTACTTTGTTTTAATTTAAGGCCTTGTTTGCATACCTTAAGCCCTCACCAGACTATGTGCCTGTTTTGATATGTTTGTACTTTTATGAGCTACAAGCAACAAATAACACAGCGCCCAAGTGTCAACGGACACCATTGAAAATAATGGGATTCTTCATGCTGTGTGTTGTCGAGCTTTGGGAACACGCAACGCGCTCACTGTGAATGGGAGCAATCTGGGATGTCCAGCTACTCTTTTCAAACTACAGGTTCATATTCACATTCTGACCGCTTATAAGTTACTTGTGCATAGCAACAGCTAACATTTCCAGAGATTTTTTAAAGAAGAATATCTGACATGGGTGGCCAGCAAGTTCAGTCTGGAAGCTAATACACTTGTACATTATCATTGAGATTGTGTGCAAGCATTGAGAAAACGTTCATGTTATCCAGCTCCTGCCAGCACATATTCATATACATGGGTGCATCCAGAGCATGGCATCATCCTAGATAGATAGATAGATAGATAGATAGATAGATAGATAGATAGATAGATAGATAGATAGATAGATAGATAGATAGATAGATAGGAAAACAATGTAATACGTAACCCCTGCTTGTCTGCTTCTGAGGTGAGAGTATGCATGCTGAGAAAGGATGCTTGACTAAAGCAAATTCGTGTGTGTGGTCCTGATCTGGGAATGCACATATATATGCATGTTCTCATCTTACTCAGTTCTAGCAATGCTTGGGAGCGTAGTTTTTCATTTTATGTGTTCCCTGGCCCCAACATGCGAGTTCACTACCACATCAAACACCAATATCAGGCATTCTTCACCAAGGTACTTCCAGAGGTTGCAAAGGGTTCCTTGAGCAATGGGGGTATTGCATGGGGTTACTTGTTCCAGACCCCGTTCACACTGAGCGATTTATCGATTGATTTCAAATATCAGCTCAATGTCGCTCAATGTAGCTAGTCCAATGCATTTCAATGGAGCTGTTCACATCTCACAGCTCAATGTCGCCTGTAGCTCGCCGCTCAAGCTTGTAGCTCGAACATGACCTATTTTTCGGCCGATTTTGTGCGATTTGGCCCAATAGACTTTATTGGTGTAGCGCTACAGAAGTGTTGCTTTTGCACAGAAATATAAGGAAGGAAGGAATGATGTCACATCAAGACTGCTTTTGATTGGTTACAGCACAATGTAGCAGCTACAAAGTCCCTGCGAAAAGTCGCACTACGTAGCGCGACAAATGTGCACTGTAGCTCAATGTCGCTCAGCTCAAAATCGCTCTGAAAAAAGCACTTTTTTGGATGTAGCTCAGTGTGAATGTAGTCTTACTGATCGTTAATCTAGGATACTCCTTCCACTGACATATGATGTAATGGGCTTCTCTGGACATTATTTTAAAGGTCCCTGTAAGCTAAAAAGGCTTGAGAACGGCTGATCAATACTCTATTCAGTTTTCTGCTATACAGTAGTGGAACCTAACCCAGGCAGAGACAATAATCAACATTTGTAATTGTATGCCCCCCCACCCCCGACATGACAGACCTTTCTCTTGCATATTTTCTTGTCTGTGCAATATGCTCAGAAGTAGAGATGGGCCAAACAGTTCATCTGTATGATCGCTCCTCATCGGATCGCTCACTGAAAAGATCCGGATCTTTTAAACGGCTTATGGTTCACTAAACTGCTCTTTTTACTATAGTAGGAGAAGGAATGAGAAGGGGGTGTAGTTTGAGGGAGGGAACGGGAGTTATTTTTAAAGTAAAACCATTGCTTGTCTGTTATGCAGAATACCCCCAACATTCCCACCACCACTATAACGCATTGCTGGGACTTGTAGTCCTACATAGTTGGTGCTATTCTGCATTGCTTTATAATCATCATCCAGCAATGCAGAATACCCCCAGCTATGTGGGACTACAAGTCCCAGCAATACATTATAAAAAAAGTCAGCTGTGCAAAATACCACCTGCACACCCCCCACACACACACTATAACACATTGCTGGGACTTGTAGTCCTACATAGTTGGTGCTATTCTGCATTGCTGGTATTCAAAATACCACCAGCTATGCTGGACTACACGTCCCAGCAGAGCACAGACCAGAAGAACCGGCGCTCATTTTTACTGAGCCACCGCTCTTTCATTCTTCTGAGGGAGCCGCTCAATAGATCCGGATCACTCATGAGCTACCCATCTCTACTCAGAAGCCAGTAATCTCTCAGAAGCGGTGGTGCCGTTGGCCCTAGGTAAGTACATTGGAATTTTTTTTTTATCTGCTGTCAGTGATACTCCACCTTCAAGTGCAGTCTGGGCCCCAGCAAGGGAGGCTAAATGAACATCAAGCATCTGTTAGGTAAAGGCACCCTCTGACCCTTTGCATCTATAGCAATGCAAATACCACTTCTTTCTAATATTAAAGTGCAGATCACTCAGCAAGTACAGCATGGAAGTAAAACTGCTTCATTCTGCTCTATAGCCCTGCTATCTTGCCTCACACGTGACAGATTAACTTTACAATGTTGCGATCATGATCCAGGTAACCACCAACAAGTGAACCTCATCCACGGGATGATGCAGCGTGTGCCCCACAGCCACACTGCCTATGTTAGCTCTATTGTTCTGCATAGCCTATGTCTGACATAGTAACGAGGGAAGCTCGCACAGCCTGGACAAGCCGATCCATCATCTACCTCGCCGTAGTAGTGAGTGGGCTGGAACGCCCCGCCCACTTCGAAAGCTGTCAAAGCGCAGGGCGCTGTGATTGGTTCAAACATAAGACAACACCTGCTTGCCTCCTTCATTCAAGTGACAGCAGAGCTCGCAGGGGATATTTGAGGCTCCAGCCCTCCCCGCTCCTCATCATTCCCAGTATTTGTTGGGCAGCTCGAGTTGCGCTCACGCTGAAGGGGGCTGGTCAGGGCTACAAGCACAGGCTAATCTGTCAGCCTCTCTCTAGCAGCACTGAGCATTCATAGAACAGGACCATGTGCGCAGAACTTCTCCACAGACTGGTCACCCTGGGACTGGTGTTCGCAAGCTTTGATGCCGTCTTTGGGACGGATGCCACAGATCTGCCAGAAAGCAGCCAGGACAGAGCGGAAAAACTGGCTAATCAGAAGGGAAGATTGTCCCTGCAGAACACAGGTAAGGTGCCATCACTGATCCACACTGGGACAGCACTGCACCCCTGCACAAACAAAGCGGACATAGCTACCCGTCCAGCCATCACCTATCTTCTATAGTCTATAGACCTCTGTTACTTTCATTCAATCTCCTACACTATACAAATGTTTGTAAGTGAAACAAGGATCAGATGTAGTTCATAAAATAATGTATAGTGTGCAGTGTAATTTTCACATCTATCTATCTATCTATCTATCTATCTATCTATCTATCTATCTATCTATCTATCTCTTTGATCTAACTCTTGCAGTCATCTTGCTATTCTATCAGCTAGCTAGCTAACTCTTGCACCTCATGTTTCTATTCTATTGATCTATCTATCTCACTTTTTTTTCATCATCTGTCTGTTACCAGTCTTTTTGATCTTTCACTTGCAGTCATCTTTATATGCTTCTGAATCTATCTATCTATCCATCTATTGATCTATCTATCTACGGTATCTATCTATCCATCTATTGATCTATCCATCTATTGATCTATCCATCTATTGATCTATCTTCTATCTATCATCTATCTATCTCTATCCATGCACCTATCTACCTTTAACCAACGTGTGTGTGGATAACTCACACAGAAGTAGAGATACATATTTATGGATAAGACAGATATGCAGCTAATATGTACCACATGCAATTCCAGGTTTATGTTGCTTCTTTTTCTATTCCTTCCCTGCAGTAATGCAACAGCTAAGGTTACATTAATACCACCATTTAGCAATATAACTGATTCAGATCTGACAGTGGTTTTATAAATGTAGAAATGTTATCTTGTGTGATTAAAACACCACTGTTATCACAGGCTCTTTGAAAAATACATTTCTTATATGTTTACAAATATTTTGGGAACACAGCAAAATAGAAGATTGAATGACCTGTTTTCAGCAATAAACTGAAGGTTGATGACAGGCGTTGAGATTTGTAGTGTGTGAATGCTTGCTGCTAAGCAGTGCTTGTGTTAAAGCACGTGCTAAGTGTGCCTCCTGGGGAGAAATACTCCAGCCACATGGGGATTGCAGAGTTAATATCTGCAAGTCAGAGACTTATAAAAAAAAGCAGTCATCCCCAGACAGGCTGCTGTAGTAAATAGGGTGGTGTTTTGTCTGACTGGACCAAGGCTGGGATCTTTTAGAAGAAATGCCCTGTCTTCTGTTTAGCAAACATGTCAGCGCTTTCCAGATTGCCAGTTTGGGTAACAATAGCACTTTATGGTGATTGGTCAGTGCCCAAGAAAGCATTTTTGCACAGAAAAAAAAGGTTGTACTGTAAAGGCTGTCATGGTATGTGCCAATTTGTGAAATTATTTTTGGAATATTTACATAGCCCAGTTTTTATAGTATAAAAACAGAATTTAAAGCATGAAATGTGTTTTTAAATTTGGCTTTATAGCATAAATTCTCAAATATTGGACGGGGAGGACTAGGCTGGAATGAAGGAGGGGGGGGCGCAGGGGGGTATTTGTACCCTGGGCCGGTGCTAATAGGAGATATGTTGGGCCGGTGGCCCAGACTGGAGATAATTCACCATTCAGACATTAATCAGAGCAGACCCGCAGTCAATGACACATGTTGGCCATTATACAGCTATCTGCTCCCAGATCGGACCTGTGATCACGTCTGACAGAGGAAAGTCTTCCAGCACCAGCTTCCTATGAGACGTCATGTGACAGAATACCAAGAACCGCCAAGAAAGCCGAGGCTTGAAGATGAAAAAGCCTTTACAACAAACTATGTCCTTTCGGAACACCCACTTTCATCATGCCCACCAATCAGTGTGACACCATGGCACATTTCTGTAGCTCATAAAAATGTGTCTTGACCATGAAAGTTCCTCCCCTGCCCGTGGCTTACCATTTCTTGTAGAACTGTAAGTTCCAGCATACTGTGACAGTTTTGGGACTGATTCTAATCTCTGACTGGCAGAGTGACCTGGGATTTGTAGTTCTACATCAGCTAGAGAGCCATGGATTGCCTATGCCAATTTAGCACTAAGCGTTTCTTTTCCGTTTTCCCCTAGGGAACATTGCATTAGCTCTGTGGTCTACAGAACCTTGCCTGTGTGTGCCTGTCAGGCATAAGTACATACCAAGCAAGCTAGGCTTAATAATGATTTATTCTGTTTACAAGCCACTGGCTAGCAGTGTGCCAAGTGCATAGTATTATGAGTGAGAGTCCCAGGGTAATCATAATAAAAAGACGGATGAATAAAAAGTCTAAACTGGAATTTATAATGCTCCTGTGATTTTAAAAGCTTTAAAAAGACACCCAGGGTCTGGCACTGCAGTGGCTATTTGGGACAGCACATCTTGAATGTCATTGCCAAGTAACAGGTTCTCCTGTGTACATCAGTCCTGTGTGCGGTGATAGAATCAAGGATCATTCACAAGAGAGAGAGCTTTATGATGGCTGTGAGCTCAGGATAAGAAATCCATCTACCCTAACACATGGGGACCTGTATTGGCTGCCATTGGTGAACTCTCCCTATGGAAAATCTAGTTGCCTGGGCATTATACCAAATCAATAGTTTTAGTACTTTCTGAGTCTTTAGCCAAAAACAGGTATAGAGCTGAGGGGTTCTGACTTGAGTCAGTGACAGCCAAACAACTGGGATTTTCAGAAGAATGTGATCAGTGGCAGCCTCTGTATTTCTCTCTATTTTTCTTTTAATACATGCACACACAAACGTAAGAACTAACACTACTTTACAATCCAGATAAAGTCACAGAAACTGTTGGCGCTATATAAATCCTGTATAATAATAATATAATAATAATATAGTTTTGCAATGTGTCTGACCACGCTGCCCAGTGTGCTCTGTAATCTAACAGACCTGGCCAGACATGCCCATTCTTTTCCCCTGCAGTAAAAGTATGTGTAAGGACACTTGTAATGAGAGGTGTGGCTGTTACTCAGCCATGCCACCATAGAGCACTGCAGTGGAGTGCAGGAAGAAGTATTTCCACTAACAGGAAAAGCTACTTCGAGGCATTTCCAAAAAAACTGGTTGAAAACCATACTATATAGTGTTGGAAGAGAAATAAAACATGAGATTTCAGTTGGGCTTTAAAATTCTACAATGACAAATTCTAAAGCTTAAACTTGGACAAGGGACTTACCAAATAAAGAAGAGTCCAAAGGAGTTTTTATTTAGTAACAAAAAAGCATAAAAGTGCCAATATGTTTCGGGGGCAAATGCAAACCCCCTGTATCAGGGCTTCCGGTGAAATCCAGAAGGGAAATTCTTGCAGAATGGACTCAGGGAAAGTTACAGTGATAGTGACCACTAATAGTGGCCACAAATACAAGGGCACATGCAGCAGTCAGCAACTGGGAGGCTTCCAATTGCTGACTATTACGTGTGCCCTTGTATTGGTGGTTACTATCATTGTAACTTTACCTGAGCTCATTGTGTAAGGGATTCTCTTTTTGAGCAACATCTGAAGCCCTGTTGAAGGGGGTCTGTGTTACCCCAGAAATGTGTTGTCACTTTGATGCTTTTATTGTTAACAATAAAAACTCCTTTAGGCGCATCCATTTATTTGTTCTAAATAATTTCTCCTCTGCCTGCCCTCTGTGAGGTCCCTGTAGGTGGAAATGCAGCCACTACCAATCAAAGATTTACAATCAAAGATCACAGCAGCTCTCACTCTTCCTCACATGTGTACCTTTATGTAGAGGTCAGCATGCCGTTATGATGTCAGGAATGTTATGTTTATATACATACCGTGTTTCCCCGAAAATAAGACACTGTCTTATATTTTTTTTGGCTCAAAAAAACACACTAGGTCTTATTTTCGGGGTAGGTCTTATTTTCTTTTTTAATGTACAACAATCCACACTTATTCATGTAGAAAAGTCTAAATCTATTCATGTACAAAATTATGGTGATCAGGGCAATCAGGGGTGCCGTACCTTTCCAAGAGCAATTTGATAACCAATCGCTGGCCAGAATGAGTGAAGCGCACTTTCACTATCGATTCCTCAAAGGCGGAGTGCATTTGGCTCTGGTCCCTCCGGTGCCGCCTCACTTCCTCTAGCGCTGGCTTCGTTGGCTGATTCTCTCCTAACTCTCCCGCAGCTCTTCAAGTTCCCCCTTATGCCACCACCGGCCCTGGGAATGGTCACAACTAGGTCTTATTTTCAGGGGTAGGTCTTATATTTTAGCAATTCCCAAGAATAGTACTAGGTCTTATTTTCGGGGGAAACAGGGTGTGTGTATATATATATATATATATAAACTATTTTGCCAAAAGTATTGGCACACCCCTCCAAATCATTGGATTCGGGTGTTCCGTGAAATTTCCTTGCTACTAAATATTCCACGGTCACCTGTTAGTTATATTATAACAAAGTGGAAGCAACTGGGAACAGCAACTCAGCCACAAAGTGGTAGGCCATGTAAAATGACAGAGCCGGGTCAGCGCATGCTGAAGTGCGAAGAAGTCGCCAACTGCCTGAAGAGTCAATAGCTACAGAGCTCCAAACTTCGTGTGGCCTTCAGATTGGCACAACAACAGTGTGTAGAGAGCTTCATGGAATGGGTTTCCATGGCCGAGCAGCTGCATCCAATCCTTACCTCACCAAGTGCAATGCAAAGCGTCGGATGCAGTGGTGTAATGCACGCCGACACTAGACTCTATAGAAATGGAGACATTCTCTGGAGTGACAAATCACGCTTCTCTGTCTGGCAATCCGATGGACGTGTCTGGCTTTGGCTGTTGCCAGGAGAACGGTACTTGCCTGGTGTGGGGTTGTTTTTCAGGGGTTGGGCTTAGCCCCTTAGTTCCAGTGAAGGGAACTCTTAAGGCATCAGCATACCAAGACATTTCGGACAATTTCATGCTCCCAACTTTGTGAGAACAGTTTGGGGATGGCCCCTTCCTGTTCCAACATGACTTCGCACCAGTGCACAAAGCAAGGTCCATAAAGACATGGATAAGCGAGTTTGGGGTGGAGGAACTTGACC